GATAACCAGATGAAATATTTCTGGACAACAAAGAAGAAATAAATTATTGATTAAAGAAATCTTTTAGGATAAGAGAAAGATTCATACCAAGTTATATGAATTATACTATACAACAATTTCACCAAGAAGCTATTCAAACTCATCTCTAAGAATATTTAACTGAAGACTACAGAGCTGTCTCAGTTATTCATGTACTTGCACCTGATACCACTTGTATTGACTGCTACTCAACAAGAAGAACAAGTCGATGCCAACCTTTTGGAAGATTTTGGAACTAGTATCAACGAATCTATAACGCTTTAACCTACAGTGGAAGAACCCAAGACTTATTTTGTAACCTAGGCCAAATATATAATTCAACTACTGCTAGAACTCTTTGTTGAGATATTATATTCAGTTACACTTATTAAGATAATAACTACAATTCTCGAGAAATTATAAGTCAACTCTTTGCTCGATATACTCACTATAATATACCTATCCTTGATCCTATATACTATAATCAGTACGATTATTACTTTGAATCAGAATACTATCTCTATTGGCAAAACCCCTTTGCAACTCAGACATATTCTAGACCAGGAAGTCTCCAAACATTAGTTGATATACTATTAATATTTAAAGACCTTATCACACCTCCTCCACTTCTTAATTTACTACTACCCATAAACTTTTTACCTCCACAACAACAACAATCTGCTATAGCTGAAGCTGCTCTAAATATTGCTACTGCAGCTATAACTGACCTTGCTAATGCTTTAGGATAAGGATCTGAGAAGAGCCTCATTAAGATTGAATACTTTTTAGGAGATGAAATACAAGACCCAGAAGAATAGTTTGAAGAATTCAGAAGAGCTGCTGCTACCAACAGATGGAATAATAATAGAAAACTTGAACTTGCCCCTGTCTTCCTCAAAGGAGTTGCTTTTAATTGGTTCACTACTCTTAACTCTGTCCTTAATGTTTTTGATAATGATGCTCATCAAGACCGAAGTTTCAAATATCTCTTTAAAGAAAAATTCTATACTTCTAAACAGAAAGCTATCTGGCAAAAGCAATTCTTTGAAATTAAATAAGACAATAATACTGTAAATGCATATGTAAATAGATTCAGAGAATTAAAAAAGAAAATTGATTGAACTAATGCCTTCTCTGCTGCTTTTGTTATTCAACTTTTTATCCAAGACCTACATTCTGAATATGCTATTAATGTATAAGCCTCAAAGCCTGGTACTTTAAATACTGCTATAACTAATGCTAAAAGATAGGAAACTGGACATATAATAGCATCAAGCAAGAACACTGAAACAGACCAAGCTATCAAGACTTTAACTGAACAAATTGTCCAACTAAATATTAACCTTGCACAAAAACAACTTACTGTCAAAAAGACCAACTATATCAAATCTCCTAGATCCTCTAAACCTCAAGCTACTTGCTATTACTGTAGAAAAAATAGATACTTTATTGCTTAATGCTAAACAAAAAGAAATGACCAATGCAAAAGAAATAGAAATTAAAGATATAGTCATAATAATAACCAAAGATATTACTCAAATAATAATTCAAGAGAAAGAGCCTCAAGACTTTCTTATTGAAGATCTGATAACTAATAGGAAAGAAAAGACTGATCACAAAGTCAAGAAAGAAGTTATTAAAACTGGAATAGAGACAACAGAGACTGAAGTCATTCAAGAGAATCTGACAGAAAGAATAAATACCAAAGAGCCTCATCTCCTTACCCTAGAAATGTTAACTACTTAGACAATGACAAAGAAGATAACCAAGAACCCTAAATGACCCAAGACCAATGAGAAGCCTTTCTTGCTAATGCTTCTATTAGGAATGCTCTCTCTGCATACTTGTATAAGGAAGCTAAAGATAAAAATTTGTTACCTCAACACATCACCTCTGTTAAGTGTAATGTGCAAATCAAGAACCAACTCTACCAAGTGATAATCGATAGTTATGCTACTGTGAGCATAATTGCTTATAGTGTTGTCAAAGAGTTAGGACTAAAAATTAAACATGCCTCTACTAGCCTTATTGTATCTGCTGTTAGAACCTCTACTCAACCACTTGGAATTATTAGAGACTTTTCTATAGAGATTGAAGATACTCACATACTCATTACAGTTGAAGTAGTACCTCCTACTCTCTGTTACTTAGA